AGTATCCTCCTCCACAGTGTCCTACATAACCATTCAGTATCCTCCACCACTGTGTCCTACATAACCATTCAGTATCCTCCACCACTGTGTCCTACATAACCATCCAGTATCCTCCACCACTGTGTCCTACATAACCATTCAGTATCCTCCACCATGTCCTAAATAACCATCCAGTATCCTCCACCATGTCCTAAATAACCAGCCAGTATCCTCCACCACAGTACCCACCACGTCAGTGTACGTAATCGGTTTATTAGGAAATAATATATTTCATTACTAGACAGAATTATGCTTGACAATTAAATATAAGTAACAAACAAAGTAATGATTTCTTTCTAAACTATACACGGTAGTTTTGCCTAAATCACAGTTCACACGTGAAAGTTATCCACCAGGGGTACGATGATACCCATCGTAAATTCTTGATAATCTTAGATATAAGGGCGTTAGCGTTTTACTGATGTAGATATTTCGTGTTACTATCAGCACTGAGCCGAACAACAGGGCAATCATCATATACCTAAAAAATATTATATTCTCTCTCTTCTATATATCCAGAATGTTTCAATATGAGGGTTATGAGTATACAAAAGCATAAAACTTCTCAAAAAAGTTCAAGATATTAGCTAACACTAAAAGTAACGATCTCTTTTAGATCACAAAAATCTGCCAAGTTCCACGGTTTACAAAGTATTATTAGATATTAACTATCTTGATTAGATTACTTATCAATGTATCAGGTTTAGATTTTGTATGACTGACTTTTCATATTTATATCCAATTACCTACAAGGGATTTTTATATATTTCGATGTTTTACCTGGTGTAAAGATTAGGAAACATTATTATTTTCAGGTAACAATGATGAAAAATCAGTTACTATTATATCAGCAAACTTTTCGTATTAAAATATGGTTCTTTACCAGTTACTGGGAAAGAAAATGACTTTCAAAGTCAGGTAAGAAATTGGTTTAAATCTTTTGATAAAACTTTAATAACTTTTGTTTCTTTGTTTATTTTCAGAAAAGAATTAGAGGTTCTTTCCATTTTTGTAGGATGTTGTTTGTAGCATCACCTAGTAGTTAAAAAAATAACTGGATTGTGTGATGTCTTACCTGTCACAAAACCACGTGGCCATGTCAATACCAACTATATAAACTAACATTCTCAAGCAAAGTCAGCAGTTCAGAAGCTTACCTCTCTTCTCATCTACAGCTGAGATCTTGTTTAGAGTCTACAAAACTTTCTTCAACATGAAATCTCTGAGACAAGGCATGGTATGTATATCGTTCTGAATGTAACTAATCTTTCGAAAAGCCTGTATAACGTTACATAGTACGTCAAACTATGATTCTTTTATTTTGGGATATCTTAATGGTAATGAATACCTATTTCTGTTCTACTTACTGTCAGTCTTATGATCGGTTTACTTGCAGTGGAAACTGTCTTACTTGGTTCTCCTGTTGGCTGTCTGTTCTGCAATGAATAATAATCCAAAGGGAAATAAGGCCACTCCTGACGATAAAAACGAACTGGAGACAGCGGAGTCTGGATACGGTGGTTGGCAAGGAGGATATGGCGGAGGTGGATACGGTGGTTGGCAAGGAGGATACGGTGGATGGCCTGTAGGATATGGCGGAGGTGGATACGGTGGTTGGAAAGGAGGATACGGTGGATGGCCTGTAGGATATGGCGGAGGTGGATACGGTGGTTGGCAAGGAGGATACGGAGGAGGTGGATACGGTAATGGAAAATACGGTGGTTGTGGCTGGTGGTGCTAAGCTAACGCCTAACAACAGTTACAGTTAGTTGTACTCCTAATGGTTTAACTGTAAAATATATTACATGTATATAGATAACGTTAACAATATATTCCTGGAACTATTTTACTTTGAGTAGCAATTCGCAATGTAACAAACTGATTGTAAAATCAGAAGTGTTTTCTGACTGTTACTTACACGTTATTTTTAACCCTGTTCATGCAATAAGAGCAAATAAAAAGTTCAAACAACCGATATATATAACGTCTGGGATGTTTTGTGTGTTCCACTAAAATTTCAGTCACAGACTTTCTTTAAACGTTGTCATGATCACCAGAGATCGTCTCCAGTTTTTATCGGAACCTCACCTATCAACAATTTCAAGTTGTTTACTTGTCATTAGTCATCTTTAAAAGACCTGTAAAATCCATTAACTATTGTTTATATATAAAAATAAGAATGTCAAAAAAGTTTTTAAAGCACTCCAGTGCCAGGCGGATACTCTAATAATATCTAAACAATACTTGTAGCCAACAATAAACAGTACCAAAAACGGGTTTAAATGGCGATCTTCCAATGTACGAGTAGACCCAGTTCCTCTCTCAAACAACGTGCTTAAAATCATACAGCTAATTATATTGCTTTTGCAGTGAATGATAAATTTGGTTAAATATTCTTATAATGAAAAACTAATAAAAATATTCGGATAAATTCAAAATAAATATTTGTTCTCGGAGTATAATTATGTAGTTCAATTATACTTCAACAAGAAAGGAACTATATCGAAATTTTTTTTTTTGAATGAGGGCATTTCAAGTTTTCATACAGAACATCCCAAATATTTACATTTTCACTTTGATTTTCTCAACAAAAAAATGTTTCTGGATTCGACTTTCTATATAGATCTGTTATAAACTTTGTTTGGATGTTTATCTGTATCCAACAGGAAGATGTTACGCTCATCTGACTCTGACTGAAAATATCATAGATTTCAAGGTGGTTTAATTGTTTTATTGGAGGAAACATGTTTCACGAATTAAATATTTAATTTTTACTTTGTTTCAAAGCGGTTAGAGCATTTCGTTGGAAGGTATTTGTTTTTTTAAAAGACAATGAAATCTTGTTTTGGGACAAAGTAGTTTATTTACATAGTTGAAATAAGTTTCTTAGACTGAGTATTTATGTGAAAGCAGTTTACAGTGTGTTATTAACGACTTATGTGATACTGTGGTTATGAAAGCAGTTTACAGTGTGTTATTAACGACTTGTGTGATACTGTGGTTATGAAAGCAGTTTACAGTGTGTTATTAACGACTTGTGTGATACTGTGGTTATGAAAGCAGTTTACAGTGTGTTATTAACGACTTGTGTGATACTGTGGTTATGAAAGCAGTTTACAGTGTGTTATTAACGACTTGTGTGATACTGTGGTTATGAAAGCAGTTTACAGTGTGTTATTAACGACTTGTGTGATACTGTGGTTATGAAAGCAGTTTACAGTGTGTTATTAACGACTTGTGTGATACTGTGGTTATGAAAGTATGGGATATATAGGAAATATTCAATAGAGAAAGCGCGTGGCGTTAAGAGTGATATAGTACGTGTCGGACATAAGGGTAAACACATATTGTAAGTAAATAGTACGTTATACATAAATACAGTGAGATACATATAAGTAGAGAAGGGAGAACGACATATGTGTTTTCTTTTAGACATCGAGCTATCTGCTGTGTCGAACCCCGGATTTTAGCATTGTAATTCCGAAGACTTACAGCTTCCCACCGGAAGATAGATAAAACGTGGGATACGTAATGTGTGTGTTACACATAGTGTTTATTATACAAAATGTGAGACACTGAATATGCTGAAAGTGACGGATATAAGCACGTATGTTATAAAGGATATATGAGACGATAAACACGTATGTTATAAAGGATATATGAGACAAATAAATCATGTTGCACAGAGAGTAACACAAAAAGTGAGGAATATTCAAATTGTGAGTAATAAATAAATTATATGATATACGGAAATATATAATATAGAAAGATGTGGAATAAATTAGAACATAGGGTTATGGTTGGTAGTAGTTGACGTGTGGTATAAATTAAAACATGGTGTTATGGTTGGTAGTAGTTGACGTGTGGAATAAATTAGAACATAGTGTTGTGATTGATAGTACCTGACGTATGGAATAAATTAGAATATGGTGTTATGGTTGGTGGTAGTTGACGTGTGGAATAAATTAGAACATGGTGTTATGGTTGGTGGTAGTTGACGTGTGGAATAAATTAGAACATAGTGTTGTGATAGATAGTACCTGACGTGTGGAATAAATTAGAACATGGTGTTATGGTTGGTGGTAGTTGACGTGTGGAATAAATTAGAACATAGTGTTGTGGTTGGTGGTAGTTGACGTGTGGTATAAATTAGAATATGGTGTTGTGGTTGGTTATAGCTAATGTGTGGAATAAATTAGAACATGGTGTTATAGTTGGTAGTAGCTAATGTGTGGTATAAATTAGGACATGGTGTTATGGTTGGTAGTAGCTAATGTGTGGTATAAATTAGAACATGGTGTTATAGTTGGTAGTAGTTGACGTGTGGTATAAATTAGAACAAGGTGTTGTAGTTGGTAGTAGCTGACATATGGAATAGATTAGAACATGGTGTTACAGTTGGTAGTAGCTAATGTGTGGTATAAAGTAGAACATGGTGTTGTAGTTGGTAGTAGTTAATGTGTGGTATAAATTATATAATATAAGTAATATAACTAATAAGACATAAATATCAGCTCAGTTTTTTTTAAATTTATACATCCAAGGTAGCGCTTTCACAACCTCAGAGTAGATTTTTCTACTAAAGTTGATGAAGTCTTGTTGTAGCGTTTTCATTAGAGCATAAACCTGTATTTATATGGTGTTAAACCTGTATTTGTAGGGTGTTAAACCTGTATTTGTATGGTGTTAAACCTGGATCTATATGGTGTTAAATCTGTATTTGTATGGTGTTAAACCTGTATTTGTATGGTATTAAACCTGTATTTGTATGGTATTAAATCTGTATTTGTATGGTGTTAAACCTGGATCTATATGATGTTAAACCTGTATTTGTATTGTGTTCTATGTACAGGAAGAGGTTGTGATAAAATGGTAATTTGTATCATACCTCCTTTATTAGTTTTAATGATCTTATACACCTCGCTCTCGACGGTTCTAGCGTTTTTAAATTAACTCAATGACACCTGTATTTATAATCGATTGAATAAAGGCAGGTTTATTAATTATAAGGTAACATATAAAACCCTTAGATTGATAATCTTCTAAGAGACCTCGTAGTAAATCTCATATGCTTTAACCCTATTTACTTCTTGTTTTTGCCAGTGACGTGTAAAGGTTAAAAAATATATAGATTACATAAAAGTTGGCAGCGTTTAAAAACGTAATTTGTAATCCGATCAGTAAATCCTTTGAAGTGAACTGTAACCCGATCAGTAAATCCTTTGAGGTGAACTGTAATCCGATCAGTAAATCCTTTGAGGTGAACTGTAACTCGATCAGTAAATCCTTTGAGGTGAACTGTAACCAGCTTTTAATCTTCTCATTTCACTATTTAACATTAAAACTATATAAGTGTTCGCATTATATGAATTATATTCGTTGTAGTCGAAAACTGTCATAAGTGTATAAATTTAGTCCAAATACAAAACTTTCTGTTGTCTTACAGTGTGGAATGTACCTTAAGCTTAAATACTGAATTAAGTATTATTGTTATTAAAACAGGACACAAATAGTCCAAATACAAAACGTCCTGTTGTCTTACAGTGTGGAATGTACTTTAAGCTTAAATACTGAATTAAGTATTATTGTTATTAAAACAGGACACAAATAGTCCCAATACAAAATGTCCTGTTGTTGTTGTTTTTTAATTTGTTAAGCACCGCAAGTATCAAAACTCGATTTTTAGAGTTATAGTCTCTCAGGCTTACCTTTGAGCCACTGGGAGAGTTCTATTGTAATGTTACTTTGTGTCCTGTTTTAATAACAATAATACTTAATTCAGTATTTAAGCTTAATGTACATTCCACACTGTAAGACAACAGGACATTTTGTAGTTGGACTGTTTGTGTCCTGTTTTAATAACAATAATACTTAATTCAGTATTTAAGCTTAATGTACATTCCACACTGTAAGACAACAGGACATTTTGTATTGGGACTATTTGTGTCCTGTTTTAATAACAATATTACTTAATTCAGCATTGAAGCTTAAAGTACATTCCACACTGTAAGACAACAGGACGTTTTGTAGTTGGACTGTTTGTGTCCTGTTTTAATAACAATAATACTTAATTCAGCATTAAAGCCTAAGGTACATTCCACACCTGTAAGACAACAGGGCATTTGTTAAAATCATAAATAATATTCAACGTTAAACTGGTACACAATTAAAAACATTATATTTAGGCTTATCTATGGCCTTCAAAAAGATGACGACTCTACATGTTTCGACGTTAGAACGTCATCCTCAGTCGAAACATGTGAGTCTTCAACTTTTTGAAGGCCATACATAGGCCTAAATAAAATGTTTTTAATT